CTCTCTGTCCCCAGGCTGTGACAATGTGCTGTGTGTCTGGGATGTGGGCAGTGGGGAGTTGCTATACAGGCTGGAGGACTCTCACCCTGACATGATCTACAGCGTGACCTGGAATAGAGATGGCAGTCTGCTCTGCACTGCCTGCAAGGACAAGGCTCTGCGTGTCATCGACCCCCGCAGAGGAACTGTGGTCAAGGCAGGGAGAACTGCTTACCTTAATATCACTACAGAGTGTTTAGATTTGTCTGTGTCTCTGTCTTTTGATCTCTATTGAAATGTCTGCTCTATGTAGTTCACTTATAGTCAGCAGTGTTGTAGTCCTGAGGTATCCAGTAGGTCAGTATGTCTTCTCTAGGTCCTAAGTAGCCCTGATTCAGCTAGCCAGTCCTGTTCCTCAGCAGCATACTGTACTCCATTGAAACTGGCTATTAAGCTACTACACAGCCGTTCTTTGTGGAATGGTGTTGAGTGTGCAGCACTGTGTTCATTGTAGAACGGTGTGGAGTGTGCAGTATTGTGTTCAGTGTGTGACAATGTTGAGTGTGCAGTACTGTGTTCGGTGTGTAACTGATCTGTGTGGGCGCAGGTGTGGCAGATTCCAGATGAGGGTCTGGTGACCCCAATGACTGAGCCCCTCGTGTCTTTGGAGGGTCACTCCAAGAGAGTGGGTATCCTGGCCTGGCACCCCACTGCCCTGAACGTGCTGCTGAGTGCAGGTAAGTCTGTCTCATTCACTGACAGATCAGGTGACTTTCTGATCTGATCCCTGTATTAACCCCTCTCTCTCAGTGCAGTGTTAATGTACTGGAGTGTCCAGAGTAAGTTCCGCCATGTGTTTGGGCAGGCCTGGCGAGTGGAGCAGTGTTTTGATGATGTCCGCGTGTCACGGGTCACCTGGGACACTCCGCTCTGTGCAGTCAACCCCAAATTCCTCGCCATCATCATCGAGGCCAGTGGGGGCGGCGCCTTCCTCGTCCTGCCACTTCACAAGGTCTGTCTGAGAGCTGGGCAGGCCGGCTTTGTCTCTTCCTGTCTCTCAGATTCACATTCCAGAGCTTTATTGACATGACCAGCGAGTGACAGTGTTGCCAAAGCAAATTCAACATTTATTGACATTGACAGAGAAGAATTTTATTGGGCGTACATATACACCACATAAAACATTATTGAGAGACTGCCTCACTGTCTGTTCCTCAGGCTGTGACAGGAGATCACACACTGCATTATTATTATTGAGAGACAGGCTCACTGTCTGTTCCTCAGGCCGGGACAGGAGATCACACTGTATTATTATTATTATTATTATTATTATTGAGAGACAGGCTCACTGTCAGTTCCTCAGGCTGGGACAGGAGATTACACACTGTATTATTATTATTATTATTATTATTATTATTGATAGACAGGCT